TTAGTGTAGACTAAAATTGAGATAGCATATGATCATATTACTTGATTTGCACATAGGATAGGGATATACCTATAGGTCATATGTAGCCAGATTAGAACCGGAACTTAATGAATCTATTTTAATTTCAATTCACATAGGGATATAGTATTTTGGTTAAAATAGATATTTTTATACGATGAGTCGGGAGATCTTTAGAAATAATTTAGAACTCTAGGTTAGCAATTCAAACCATTAAAATAAGGTAAGGAAGAGAGGTAAGATTTAGATGAAATGTGAGGGATATTGTAATCCTAGGCTTGTTTGATTTGATATTTATTTGAGTATTTATTATTTTGATTTTTTTTTAGTTTAAATTTGCTAACTTAGTTTTATTTGATATTATTTTGATAATGTTTGGATAAGATTAATTTACTATAATTTTAGTACTTAGTAAACTTTTAGATCAATTCCCTGTGAGATCGATACTCTACTTGCTAATATATTGTCTATTCGATACGTATACTTGCGTAGTAAAATTTTAACTAACAATATCAAGATTCAAGTACTTCAAAAACAATTCAAGTGTTTTGCCTCTAAAAAAATTCACGCTTCTTCTTTTTCTAGGGTTCTCTATTTTCTAAAAATTGTTACTAAATAATTCTAGTGGCCAACTAAGTAACAATCATTACTTTTTTAGATATACTAATAGACGTGGAACCATTAGACCTAATCATAGTCCAACAAGATTTATATATAAAACTTGAAAGAAGAATATGTGTGGGATCCTTAGGAATCTCTCTTTATAGCTATAGGCCAAAGTCCTTGTCATCTCATAACTCATATTTTAGCTGGAATTTAATTTAATTTAATATTATTATTTAGTTTCTTAAATTAATCAATAAACCTTATTTACCTATTTATTGCAATAATGTCCATCAATATATTGCAACTGACCTCTGTAGAGAAAAGAATTATCAATGAGGTCCCTTCATTATAATCTTTACTAATCAGTCCTTTCACCATACCATATTCCTCATAGGCTTTATGGCTAAAAAATTTCCGTTATCACATCCAACCTATGTAATACCAATTCATGATTTCATTCTTGTTGAACTTTAAAAAATATATTTTTTTCAAAAAACACTAATATACAATATTAATATAAATAATATATTTCTAAAACATCTTTTAGAAAACATGCCAGCTAAATTTCTTGAGTTCAACAATCTTATAAAAATCGCTTGAATATCTTCTCAATAGAGAATGGTGAATCCTTTATTGAATATCCAATATAACTTATTTAGTATGTACACAAACCAACATGCCAAGGTATAGCTTTTGAATTCAATATCACATATTGGTAACATCAAAGTAGATAGATAAGGATGAAAGTGAACTTGCAAATAATTGAGTAAATTGGACATGATTGTTGCTGCCATGTATATACATGGTTAAGGTTATGAAAATATAAGATGGATTTAAATGAAAATTGCTTAGAAAGGTTGAAATGGTCATTTAATGATATAATTAGGTTGTTGGTACACATAGCGTAAAAAATTACGCTAGTAAAAGATATGGAATTCCATTAATAAAAGTATGTCAACGTGCATATGAATGTATAAGGATTAAGTGGGAAAGAAAGGTTTTTTTAGCATAATATAAGTTATAACCATGATGATGAATGTATGATTAAGAAAGGAAATGAGAATGATCAATACTAAGCATCTTAAGCTTGGTTTATTTCTAGGAAGAGTGCCAAAGGAAAAGGATTGTCGTAGTGATTAACCAAAAGAGGAAGTATAATTGGATTAGTGGCGAAGTGGTATCCCGCCATTGTGAGGTGAGTAAGGGGTTTCGATTTTAAAATCTCCATAATGTATATATTGTTTTACGTTAATAAGCGTTGATTGTTTTCTTCAATGCATTATGGATAGCATGAGCTATTAGCCTCAATAGGTCATTTTTTTTTCTAAAAATGGATTTACAATGATTTGTATATTACTATTGTGTAAAGCATGAGTTGGTAGAAACTATAGGAAGTTTGTGGATGCAAACCATTTTGAAAGGAGTTTTGGATACACTATAGATAAACCATATATGTAAAGAGTTTTAGAAACTGGGAAACAAGCCTTTCATGATATTTGCTTCAAAATCTGTGCCTTGTGTTTTTGTGTGATATGCATAGCTAAATGCATTTGCAAAATGATTTGAAATGCAAGTTTTGAGCTTTGGTTTGATTTCGATCTTTATACAAGTAATACACCATGCCATTTAACTTGAAAAGTAATTTCAAAGGGGTTATCAAACCTTGATTTCAAATGATTAAAAGGACAAGCCTTGAAAAACTCGATTTGGTTTTGAAAACGGTTTTGACAAATCGAGAGCGTCAAGAGTAGGTTGGCTGTCATTTTGATTCAGTGTGACCCTTGTGCACAAGTGAGCTCTAGCTAGAGAACTTTTGAGTCGCCGATTGATTATTAGACATGGCTAAGGCCATGTTTTGTTATATATGGGTTGTTATATGTGGCTGAGACACAAGTAATGTTCGCGGTTGCAACCACTTGATTTCTCCGATGTCGGCCAATTTTGTTGAGACTGCCATGGTATGTGGGGATCCGATGGAGTAGGGCTCTCAGATGTTATTACGTGGAATGGGTCCACGGGTGATTACTATACTTACCTACTCGAGAGCCTTGTGAGATTTCGACACATACTCTTTTGCATGGTGGAGATTTGAGATTTCTTTGTAGCTCCTCTAGTTTGAATAAAAGCTTTCAATGCTTACTTGATGAACATGAGCTGTTTTACGT